TTTTGAGTTTTGTTGCAAAATAACAACCCCAGAGTCATTGATTTTATCATAAATTATTAATCTTAGTTGGAAGCATGAATTATTTATGTTTGTAAGACAATCATCACTGTATAGATTTTATAATGGTATATTTAGTTTTCTTATTTATTTATTTATTTTTGGTTGAAAATTTTGCATGTTAGCTTGTTCGTGACTAGAATACATTTTAATTTTGATAGAATTACTAAATTTATCTTAAAGAGTACATGAGTTTTTATTTTTATCCTTACTCTTAATAATTTCCTTTTGACTTACATAATTATTTGGCTAAAAGGATATTAATTAAGAGCAAAAAGTAAAAATCTAAACTCATGCACTCTAAGAAAGTATTTATCTCTTTTCTCCTTTTATTTTTCTTTGATACATCCTTCTCATTTTTTACAGCCAGATGAAAGCATAAAAACTTATCATCCATTCAAATTTTGAGAATATTTATAGTAGGCTCCACTAGGAATTGTTATTTTTAACTATTTAATTAGTCTTTTAACAGTTAAATATGTGCATATTCACATTAACAATTTACATAACGTGATACATAATTGTCCGTACTCTAAATTAAATCATTGAAAAACTAATCTAACAATTAAAACACAGTTCTTATCAGTGGAAAAGTAACTCTATCCACCACAAATTTCAACTTTCATGAAGTGACAGCTAACTTTTTTTAGTGGCTGGGAAATTTTTAATCATCTAAGACACCATCTCTAATGTAATTAATGTCAATGTTATATTTGACACCTATGGAATGAAATATTTAATATGTAACTTTCTTTTGGGATAATAGCAAATAATAGGCCCTCTAAGAGTTCAATTTTCATAAATATCCACAGCTTTTAGAATTTGATACATGATCACAGCTTTTGGGTCCTTTGTTTCCTTCTTTTTTTCGGATTCTATCATTGATTAACTTCTGTTGATACCTGATTTGGTATTGGCCTAATTCAAGGGTACAGGCCCAATCATGGCGTCACGCAACGTTATTTACTTCACTTCGTGGACCCAAGTCACACTCGGAGAACTCCTGTGGGTTGTGATTTGATGGGTCATGTGTGATCAAGTAGGCTCATTTTTCGTTTAATTCAATCCAATTTGAATTCCGCTTGAGAGTTTTCAAAATTACTCAGATTAAATACAAATGGGTGATGGAGAATTCCCAAAAGCCTTCCTCCCATCCTTTTGGAAGCCTAAACCCCCTAATCCAAGCCTTAGAACATCTTCCTCTTCGTCAAGGTTGATTCTCAGTGTTTTGACTCCAACAGAGGCTCTACCCGCTCCAAGACATTCCTAATGGAGGCTCCCTCCGTCGCAGGCATGTCTTTCAGAGCATTCTCTTCATGTCCAAGTATGCCTAATGGAGCCTTTTCCGTGTCAGGCATCCTTCCTTTGAACTTTATCTCGCCTAACTCACCATCGAAGCACTCTTTGCGTGGAGCATGATCACCCTTCGGAGCAGCTTCACTCGAAGCAGCCTTCGTCTGGATCACACTCACCGTCGGAGCAGCTTCATTCGGAGTAACTTTCGTGTCAAAGCCAACTTGATGGCTACTTAGCCAATATCGTATAAACCATCTCTAACAAGGTCTGACATGCGATCAGACCTCTGAAACATAAAGTCAACGGAGCACAAAATTGAGTCAAACACTCTTGAAAATTTTAGACTTTTGAACTTTTCACATTAGCTCCAAATCTGGAACTTTACCTCCAAGACTTTACATTTTCAGATATTTTCTTTGTTAATCCAGAAAGTCACTTGATCGCTTTGCTCCAGAAGGAATTGCATGTGCAAGTCTCCTTCAGAACGTTCTTGATTGGGCTTTGGAACAGCCACCATGAACCTTTCTTTTCATGTGCAGGCCAACTCTTTTTCAACCCCGGAAAGGCTTCTAATGACTTGGCTCCATTTAGATCGCACGTGCATGCTTCCTTCAGAGCGCCGCCGATTCACTCTTGGAGTAAGTTCCCAGAAGTCTTCATTCCATTTTCGGCTAATCTCCTCTTCAACTCCGGAAAGGTGTTAGAAGGCTTTGCTCCATCGAGATTGCTTGTGCAGACGTCCATCAGAGCATGCCGTACGAACCTCCAGAGCTGAAATCCTAGCAATTTTACCTATAAATACTCCTCATCTCCTTCATTTCAGGGGATTAATCCACCATCAACACTAGCCACTACTTTCATTCTCATCGGATTACCTTTTCTTACTTCCTTCATACTCCTCTAGTATCTTGCTATAGAAACTTGAGGTTCTTCAAGCTCTTCAAAGTCCTAAAGCATCCAAATGTTGACAACCTTGAAAATCTTTTCAAAACACTTTTCGATCCATTTCCACCACCATCTTAAAACTCTTCAAAGTTTCTTCATACATTTTCTGACAACGTTCAAGTCTTCATTATTGGGGTCACTTCTGCTCACTGTCGGAGCAAGTGCTCCGAGCGCCGTTCTCACTCTCAAAGCAACATGCGTTATTCTTGGAGTTCTTTTTACCAGAGTCTTATCCACCTCGCCAACTTCACTCCCACTCTCCTCCAAGCCTTATCCACCACTTGAATCACCATTTTCACTCCTGGAGCAGCCTGTGCTTATCTACAGACTACTGCTCTATCAAGGCACCTTCAGCCTCCTTTTCTCCATCTCCATCAACTACTTGTTCACATCTCCCACCATTCTTCATCTCTGGAGTTCTTTTATTTATTTTTTTTACAGATTCTCTAACGTAATTTGCAGGACATTTTTGTCATTTCAGTAACAAATAGGGTCTTAAGACACGCGTCTTTTGGCCTAATTTGGGCCTAATTAACCCCACTTTTTCGTCGGATGTCCCGCCATCCTCATCCACATCGAAGCTCGGCCACGTCAAATCCGCTTCTGACAAAACGTGTTCTTACGCGTGTCAACTCCCGACACATCTACCCTCCAAATCTACCGAACCCCAACAACCTCATCCTATCACTAATTGATTGCGATCTATCACTGATTGACCGATTTTGCCTTTTGGGATTTTTTTGTTCACAATCTATCACTATTGACCATGATCTATAATTGATTGATTAAAGTACTATTTTAACCTCGGTCTACCACTGATTGATCTCGATCTATCATTGATTAACGGTGATCTGTAATTGATCGACTTTAGAAAAAAAAAAGCCATTGACATAATTTTGAAAAAGATGGGTCATCATTTAAATGAGTTATAAATGGACCACCTAACCCAATTTCCCTTATATTTTTATGTCCAATATCTAATGTTATTTAAAAGAGAAGATTGCAAAAATTGACCCTTAAACATGTTCTTCTGGAGTTCTACATTTTGTTGTGATAGGCTACCATTTGATAATAATCTGTCAAATTATAGATAATAATTTGCTAAATTCTAGACAGTAATATGTTAAATTATGCCCGCCATGGGTGATCGGAGACCCACTGCCAGCGACATCTATCAAATTGTTGGTAATAATTTGTCAAATTACTTACTCCAAGGGGGCAAAATTCAATAAACCAATGTTGAGACTCAAAAATCCTTAATGATACTATTTTAAGAGATATTTATCAAAATTACCCTATTTAAAATGTTTTACATACCTTTTATCATAATTTGTAAAGTTTTTAACTTATGAAATTAAACTTTTAATCTTAAAACAATTTAAAAATAATAATGTTGTAATGATTAAAAGTAAACTTCTATTTTGCACAGCAATGCCTAAAAGCATCATCAATATATTGTTAAATTAGTGTATCAATGCTAAATTCTAATATTTGAGTGGAAAAATCACTTTTCAATACAACGTTATTTTTTGTGCTAAATTTATCATATATTATACTTGGTGCAATATTAAATTTGTGCTAAATTTATCATATATTATACTTGGTGCAATATTAAATTTTGGCATATGCTAAATCAAGTATAATATACGTTAGCACAAAAAATAACATACTATTGGAGAAATTTTCCTACTCAAATGTCAAATGTTAGAATTACATTCTATGTCCACACTATTCAAGCAAAAAATAAGATGTCTTACCATTCCTATTCCACGCTAACTATCAAGCAAAAACGCTTAAGTTTCCATTATGTGTCAATCATATATATATATATATATATATATATATATTGCTAATCATGTGTCAATCATACTTGAACAGTGACCTCAAACTTCTTTTAAAACAAATGAATGAGAATTAAATAAACTTTTCTTAGAGTGTATCAGATTCTATAGCTCTACTTTTGTTACTTTATCATCTAGTCTTTACTTTAGAAATTCGTAGCTCTAGAATTGAGCCATGTCCCTAAGGCTTCTTCGGTTGCCATGTCTGCCTTTTTCTAAAAAGCTCATATGCTTCTTCTTTGGACCTTTCTTTTGTCTCTTTCCTTTCGGCTCTAATACGATAAAATCACCCCTTCTTGATGAGCTTTGTTTTTTCATCCCAGGAATTTGACCACTCCCAACACTCCTTGAGGTTTGTTTACTTACAGTCTTGCTTTTATTCGAATTCGTCAAATGGCTTTCATTGGAATCCAAATTATCTGTCCAATTTTCATTTATCCACATGGTGCCTAAACAATCTTATTATGACACGCATTTATTGGATTAAAACATTAATTTGTGAAAATGTCTATTAAAAAGCATTTCAAAAGTGTTGCCCTTAAAGTGTGTAAAAATTTTTATGGTATACTCTTTATTAATATTCTTTTTAATCAAATAATTATATTAATTAAATTGGTGTTAATTAAGAGTAATGAATAAAATCCAGACTCTGAGTTATAAGGATAAATTCAACAATTTTCTCTTTTGAAAATACCACCAAAAAAGGACCAAAACTTTCAACTCTCTCACTTATCTATCATCTTCTAGGCACAAAATCAAAAGGAACGTGTAGAAAGGTTTTCATGTTTCAGAAAGAAAAAAAAAAGGCATAATAATAATTTAAAAAAAAAAAAAGTGTTTGATGAAACACTTGGCCAGAGAAACAGTTAAAACCATGCTGAACAAGTCATTTTATTATCCAATTAATAAACATACAAAGGAATGTAGCAACTTGAGCTTACCATCCCCGATGCATTTTGCTAAAAGGGTAAACTGACCAATACCAAATATAATAACACAGCAGTTGGTCGGGGAAAAAAAAGGGCAAAAAAGTTGTATTCAGTATGCATTATCTAGTCAGTAAATGCTTCTCTTCCTCTCCAAGTCTCTCCAACCATTTTAGTCCCAAATCACATCCAGCTTTGGCTGCAATCTCAAACTGTTCTTTTGCCATCTCTACTCGATTCGTTGGACGACTTTCCAAGTCTTTTATTGCTCTTTTGGATAAAGGAATCCTTTTGGAACTTAATTTTGTTAGAGATTCTGGGAGTTCCACACCTGAGATTAATTAGTAATTAGTTCCTGGTCTACAAATAAACAGCACGCAAAACCGAAAGATCTAATGAGGACAAGATGAGAACATATTTCAGCCAAAAAAAAAAAAAGAAAAGAAAAGAAAAGAAGATGGGAACATATCATGAGCATAGCTAATATTCTTGAAACTAGAGTTACAAAGAAACATGAGCAGAAAGAAACTGACCTTTAAGAAGAAGGGACCCACATGCTATAGCAGCGCCGGCATGTCCCTGCATATTATCCAAGGACAGTAAATAATATGTACTGCTCTCTCTCTCTCTAAGAACAATTTACACTGGTTAAAGTGCATAAGAACAAATTTCAAAGTTTTTTCCCCTCTAATATGTAAATAATATGTACTGCTCTCTCTCTCTCTCTGAACAATTTACACTGGTTAAAGTGCATAAGAACAAATTTCAAAGTTTTTTCCCCTCTAACTTGTTTGAAAATTAAACTCAGCAATGCGACCTTACAAGTAGATAATGCAAAAATGGGTTAGAAAAACTAAAGAAAGTTACATTTCATTTGATTCCAATCATATGCTCATTACACGTACATCGGATTTTTTTACCCGTCCAGGTCATTTCATGGATCAGTTTCAGAAAATGTCCCTTAAAGAGATTCTCCATTTGAAGTTCGATTAGCTATTAATAACTAATAGTCTAATACATCGTTAGTTCACATAAATCCCGATCTTTTGAGCTTCATAATAAAATTGAATTAACCTACCTTTTCAGATGCCTTGTGAAAACACCATAGCGCTGAGTTCATGTCTCTCCTCACGCAATCTCCTGTCAAATATACAGCACCCAGAAGGTAAAGGGCACCTGGATGAAACTAAACATAGCGAGGTTGGGTGAGTTTTTGGTACACTATTTCTGTGCATAATTACTTGTGAAAATAAATAAATAAACAATTAAGAACTCTACAACAAAGAAAAATCACTACTGTATTGCCGTAGCAGAAACATACCTGGTCAGCAGCCTTCTCCAGATAATAGAAAGCTTGTTGATCAGATTGGACATATGGATTCTATCCGAAAACCAAGTGAACAAGCATTACAATCTTTAAAACATAAATTTTAAATTTGACCAAAAAAAAAGTATCAAATCTTGGAACTGGAAATTTTAAGCGGAAATCAGAAGCGTTTAGACCATAAAAGGTCATAAAGAAATGATTTTAACAACAAAGTGTGTGGGCAACTTTCTGAAGTGCTGCTCAAACAAGTGGATTCTATTCTAGCTTTCATTGCTACTGCATAAAGTCAGCCTAAAATTTCTTGAGGGCCAAACGGAATACAACTGCTTTACATGCACCCACAAAATATGACATGAAGGAACCTAACCTCAATTCTCATTCGGCAACCTAGTTCGTATTGTGCATCTCGATCGCCCATATTTGCAGCTTCTACTAACAATGCAGCTCCCCTAGTACAATGAAGGAAACAATCAGCTAAAAGTACATAGATGAAAAGGTTCAGAGCAAATAATGATCATCTGCAACTAAGGCTAATACGTAGCAAAAGTCATAAAGCATATACAATTATTCAACCACAAATTGGCAAAAAAGTAAACTTTGAAGATAATGTGAAAAACCGTGGCTCGCAAAGTCTAAAAATTAAAAAATTTAAATTTAAATTTTTTTAAAAAAAAAACCTACAAATTTTGTTTTCTTGATCATGCTAAACATTTTTTCCCTTGCATTTCTTTTGCTCAGAGCAATTATTTAACCTATAAACTGGTCTTTGTCTTCAACAGCTCTAGTACATCCATTCAACCGGATCCCACCGAAACCAAACTAGCTTAACCAGTTATCCTTCTTTTTTGTCCTTATGAAACATAAAGAGAACCCCCATAATCCCTTCTCTCTCTCTTCCTCTTTTTTTCGCCTTAAGTCGATATAGGCATACCATGGCACAACACAATAGTAATGACATCTTGAGCGCAACCGTTGCCAGCATCAAAGAAGAAACAGAATTACACCAATTAACAAATAAAATAGACACTTAAAGTAAGTACTACTTACACTGCTTTACAAGCCCCAGGGACATGATATTTCAAATGCAGTCTGGACAACCAATATCTAGCATGTGTATTCGAATTGTCTGCCTCTAGAGCCAACTCGAAATTCTCCTTTGCTGCCTGATTCACAGATGAAACATTAGACAAGAAAATACATTCAAATCAGCTCTTTTCACCAATACCAGATCAAGGTAAAGGTTTCAGTCATTCACGAAGTACTGCTCCTACATATACATGTAGATGTGGGAAGCATAACAAGGCATTTGTTCTATATACCAATGACTTTAAAAGGTATAACAAGGAATTTACTTACAGCAGACTAGTGTTACATATAAATATGTCATGCTATATCCCCTGTTTCTACATGTTTGTATAGGAACGGTCCTTGAAAGACTGAACTGAAGACATAGTACATACCCAATAGATTAGGATCCTTCTATCGTGCCTTCATGGCACCCATACTAGTTCACAAGTTTATTGTAACTTTTACAACTTCAACGCTGAAAGTTCACAAGTATGTCATTCAAATGCTCAAGTTGTTGTATTCTCTTTAAAATTCGCAAGTCTTATCATAACTCATACAATTCAAATGTTCTAAGTTCACAAGTTTCAATGTAAGGAACGCAAATTATCGTATTCTCGATACTAATGCCAGGAATTCTTTTCCCAGCACCATAGAAGTTATCAATAACATTCAATAAACCAGTTGCTTTTACCAGAGCATAAAAGACATGATGAAGAAATTACAACTTAAACTAAATCAAATTCTGCAACGAGTCCAAGAAAACAATCACAAATTAAATGTTTCAAAACCTAATTAATTCCATCCTAGTAACTATCACCAAATTTCAATCACACAAAAACTTATAATAATTACATAAATAATAAACAAACAATCAACATTTCTTCAACGCGTTAACAAAACATTTAATGAATTCATCAAATCCAGAGTGAAATCCAAGCTATGAAAAACGAGATTAGTTTTCGACAACAAAATCTATAAAATCATAATCATACTCTGAGAAGAGGAATAAGGCGTTTATCATGGAGCTCGGCGTAGTCAATGACTCTGTCAACTTCCTTCAGGGCGCTCCATCCTTTGGCTATAAATTCCATGGCCTTCTTGTTCCTGCTATGCATATCTCTCTGGAAGGAAGAAAAAAAAACCGTAAAATTGATTTCCAGAGACGTGTATTTGTTGGGAAAGTGGTGGGTTTTGGTATAAACCTTTTGGTTGAATAGAAGGAGACCAAGACTCTGACTAGGCCTGATGAAGAGCTTCTTCATCATTTTTCTTTCCCTGTAAGTGTGAAACCCACCGGTGACAATGGAGAAGACAAAGTTCAAGTGAGAGTGAAATGGGTTATTGGGCACCGGTAAGACCAATAGAGATTTTGGGCCATTCAGCCCAGTTCAGTTCATAGGGAATAGTAAGGTAAACTTGAAAAAAAAAAAAAAAAAGAATCTTAAAATATTTTGAGAATAGTAATTAGTAAAAATTACATAAGTAAATATTGTAAGGGATATTTTTATTTTATACCTTGTACTAGTTGAGAACGCATGCGATATTTTCCAAGTAAGAAGGAAAATTAAACATATCAAAAACCATTTAATAAACGACAATAAATTGCAAGTGACGAGAATACTCACGATAAAACCCACACATACTAGCATGTATGTATTGGTAATTAAGTCATGATTTCTTTGCTTGAATCAGTTCATTAGAAGGATATCAGCAATACACATGTACAGAAGTCTACAAGAATCATAAGAAGACTAAATATTTAACCTGATTCCACTACGGCCACTATTAAACCAAACTAAATATTGCAACTGTGAGACCACAACAACAATTCCAATGTAATGAAGAAATTTGACACAATTGCCAACTCTTAGCAGTTTTTCTCAAAGCTTTTACAATGGGCAAAGCATTAAAAGGGGAAAAAAATGAAATAGTGCACTTTTATAGTTACCTTCAAGGATTGGTTCATCCTTTGGACGGGATAGTTACTTCCCAATTAGGGAAAAAAATACAATCTCATTTAGAAAGAGTAACGTTAATAAGAAATTGGATGTGCATGGCATTGGTTGAACCACTTAACAATATAGTGCTAAGAGAATCGCTCATCACTAAAGTAATATGGCTAACATGAAACTATCTATGGCTAGTCCTGTATCATTGATTACTAAATGAACAAAAAAAAAAAATTATAAATCACAAGATTGTTTTGAGAAAATATTTATCTTTTACGAATCTGTCATCCCTTAGAACTCTGTGCACTTTTCCTCGAATACCAAGAGTCCATAACAATATAGAACAACGAGAAGTCATGCTTTCTGTTCTACTGATGAACAAAGCCCCATTGAGTGCAATTCATAGAGGGCCAACCTAAGTGCTGGAAAATGCTAAATAATAAGATAAAGCACCGAAAGAATAGGACAAGGCTCTCAAGATGATAAGTCTACAGAGCCACATAAGTCATTGCAATAGGCACTATTATAGAAGTAGAAATACAACATCAAGTGGATTATAATTACATATACTAATGATGCATACCTACTACTTTAGCAGTGACACCAAGCAAATCACTTCTTGAAGATCTCTGCATCACATAAAAGCAATAACACATCAACTGGAAATTACAGCAAGCCATGTTCCGTATTCTTCAGGCCAAAAACTCAATTCCTACATCTCAAAAAATAGTGATTCCAACAATGGAACCATCGAACTTTACGGTTTATTACAAGAAGCTATGGAACTACAAGATTTCTCATCCAACCTGAAACGATCTACACGGTAATCCATTTTATATGGAATTCATCAAAGATAAAAAGCAAGTTCCAAAATTTTCAATTTAGAATCTCCAATCTTTATTCAAATAAATTAAACAAAGAAAACTATGCAGACAACATATATTTCTAAATAGAATCCTTGCTTCTGTTGTTTAACATAGTGTAAAATGACAGAACAAGTGAGCCAAGCCAACAGCAAACAACGTATTGAAAACCTTCAAAATTGAACATCTTCCCAAATGAAAAATCCCAAAAGCCACCATCAATGGTGGCATTAAGTATGCATGTGAAAATATATACTGTCATACCTATTTATATTTTATCATTGCTATTCTAATGAAACGCCTTTAACCAAACTTGAATGACAGATCGCATTCTGCTCGCATAAATTCACAACTTCCTCCCTTTTTCATTCCTCTTTGTCCCAATTTCCTAATGTCCCCAAAATGAAAACCCCACCAAACACCTCCATTTTTCCAGAATCTCTCCCTCTCCCCCCCAAACACACCCATCTCAATTTTTCTTCCCATTCTACCCAAATCACCTCAATCACATCCCTATACGTATTAGAAATTACAAGCACAACCATTTTACATATAAGACACAAAAACACATAACAAAAAAAAAAAAAATTGTGCAGCTCGTAAACCCAAGTGACTATTGGTGGCCTCTCTAACTCAACAACACCAAGCAACACATCTAAAATCAATGGTGAGTCAGATCTGACTCCAAATTAAAGCATCTAAAACCTATTATACAAATAATAAAAATAAAAATAAAAATAAAAAAATGACAAACAACACTGAAACCGAAAAACAAAGGAAACTCAAATCCAAGACGCGTTCATTCATGAACCAATTGAAAACCATCAGACCCATGACGGGGTTCGGAAAAGGTTAAATAAAGAAGCACAGTCAAATACAAAGTTGCTGAAGAAAAAGGCACCATTTGCAAATCTGGAACAATATGAATGAACCCAAAACAGAAAAATTCATCAGTAATTTTTGCTCATCAAAGTAACTAAGGGTCTGTTTGTTTCACGTAATCTTTGCTACAGTATTTTCTTCTCCCAAAAAATTTTGAATTTCAAAAGTCAGAATGATAAATCATGGTTTGAACTCATGAACTAAACGGACCCTAATGCTTCAGTTTTCACACGAAAAGGAGAAAAAAAAAAAAAAAACTTAAAAGCAAGAACTGGTTAGCCCCAAGAGAAGTTAAAGAGACAGAAAATGACAAACTCTGTGAAAACGCAGCCAAAGAGAGATCAATCAATTGGAAACAAGAGTAAAGAAAAACAAAGGAGATGAAAATTAGATAATCAAGTACACCAACTATGAACCTTACAATTCACACAACAAATTATGATGATTAAAATGATTAAGCGGATTTTGAGCTTCGATCACCCTAGGTTTTGATTCTGGGGATTAAAGAAATCCAAATAGTTTCTACAACAGAACATTCAATACCAGATAGGCAAACATAATCAAAACACAATAAAGCAACCATCAAAACATTGAACAAAATAAAATCCAGAAAGAGAGAGAGAGAGAGAAGAAGAAGAAGAAGAAGAAGAAGAAGAGGAGGGAGAAGCACAAACCGGGAAGAAAAGTAAACGTCCACGACTGAGCAAGGAAATGGGTCCGGAGAAAGTCTTGTGGGAAAACGAGAGACAGAGGAAGTGCAGCAAAGAACAAGAGAAGGAAAGATTGAAAGGCGTGAAAGACGGCAACGAGAAATGAGAAGTAGTAGTTAAAAAAAAAAAGGGAGAAAGAGGAAAATAACTTATCTAGTTATAAACCATAATTTGATAAGTTTGTTCATAATTTATCTGGTTATGAATTATAACTTGATAAATTTATTTATAATTTATCTAGTTATAAACTATAACTTGACAAGTTATGACCTATTAATTTCTATAATTAAAAATTAGCCTATATACTTTCTTAAGCTTTTCGTATTTTCTACTATTTCCGTTGAAAAAACAAAAAAAGTGTGTGAAAAGTATCCCAAGTTTCAGCTAAATACAAGGTGCCCGTTTGAAACCGTTTGTTCGTATTTTGAAAAGTGAAAAATAAAAATGGTAATGAAAACAAAACGACATTTATAAATTTGAGTTTTATTATAGTAAAAAGTGTTTAAAAATAATTTTTGTTACAGTAAAAAATTTTCACATAAAATTACATCTCAACTCGAATCAGCGAATTAAACAGATCGTAAATATTTTTAAAATGAAAACGAAAATCATAAAAATAATTTTTGTGATAAAATTAAAAAACAGTTGAAAATTATTTTTTTTTATTTTTTAATATTTATTAATAATATTATAATATATTAATTAATATATACGGTTTCACTTTTTAGAATGGTCTTTAGTCAGGTACTAATAAAAATGCCTGACTGATCGGTCAGTTTTTATGGCCGTCGGATTGAAATTTAGACGATGTAGATCGAAAAGTTTATTTCTCAAAAGACCTCTTCCTTTCTCAAACGCACGAGCACTCCCAAACCCACTTCTCTCTCGACTTCCCTCGACCTTCCTTGAGCTCCATTGACCTCCTCCGTAGCCACCTCGCCGCCGGTGACTTCTGACAGGCGGACGAGGCCGCATCCCGACAACTCCCACAACCAAACCCACTTCTCTCTCTTCCTCCACCCTCACATTTCCTCTCTCGTCAAACACCACCATTTCCTCCTCTTTCTTGGCCGTCGTTTCCTCGACCGCCTCCACAAGCATCTTGTTGTAATTTATAATAATAATTCTTATTCTTATTGTTGAGAAAGAAGTAAGATTCTTTTTACATAGATTTTTTTTTCTTTTGGGGATTTTGATTTGATTTTTAAGGGGCTAGGGTTTCCTTCTTTTTCTTATATTTTTTTTTCCTATACTTTACTCTTCTATTTTATTGCTTGTTTATGATTTTATTATAGGAGGTACGAACTCACACGTTGTGGGTCGTTGATTTTTCTTGATTTCCTTATCTGGGGTTCGTGATTTTGAAAGGGCATTTGTGCGAAAGATTTTTGGGTTCTGTCTCGTGAAGTCGTTACAAGCACAGTTTTGATCTGATTTCCAGAATATCCAACGCAAAGACCAGATATCACGATAAATTTTTCTTTTTATTTGGTTATGAATTCTACATCTTGTTAGTTTTTGATACTTATTTGGCACCTGAAACCTGTGTATCAGGGCCGTCTTCCAAAGAATTTCAGGGGACGCAAGTCAGATATTGTTTGGTCAGGAAGTCCTTGGATGTGTGGTAAGCAGCTCAAGCATTACCCTGCTTTCTGTAGGAATGGGATTACGATAGCGGTAAGAATCTAGTAACTGAGCGGAATGTTGTGAATGAGGTGTTTGAAACTTAGAAAGTACATAAAGTGAAAGAGAAAATTGCATTCTTTCTATCTCCTTGTTCTTTTGGTCTAACATCGCTCTCTGTTCTTGATATCCAGGTTCAATCTTTTGTCTTTGTCATGGCAAATGGAGAGAATCACTACATTGCTTATCTGGAAGACATGTGTGAGGACAAAAGAGATCAGAAAAAGGTCAAAGTGAGGTGGTTTCATCATAATCAGGAAGTCAAGGGGGTTGTTCCGCTGTGAAATCTGCACCCGAAAGAAGTTTTTATCACACCATATGCACAAGTCATCAATGCAGAGTGCGTCAATGGTCTTGCCACGGTCTTAATTCGTGAACATTGAAAAATGCTTAGTTGCAATTCCTCATGGTTCCGTGGCCAAAGATGAGGATGGATATGACAATCTCGAGGTATGAAGATCATCATGGTGATGACAATGGCAGCAAAGAAGACATGAAAGAGCTTGAAATCCCCAATGAGAGCTTAAAAGCAATTAAAATGATGGAAGTGACGGTATGAGATGTGTCTAACATGAGTGTTTTTTTCCCTTCTTAGTTTAGAGTCTCTGTAAATAGTTACAAGGTCTTTTGGTGGGGGAAAACGAAAAACTCATTCCATTCCTTTGAAAATTTCGAATTGGTGGCTTCTGTAGTGTACAGTCACAGGTGTTAGGATTTTATGACCACCTGATTTTAACTAACTATATTAGAAAGATAATTTGGTTAGGAACCTCGTAAATGAACCATTCAGTCCTCATGCTTCCATGAAATGACTGAGTATGTGCTTGCTTCTTGTACCTTTGTGTAAAGTTTGAAGTTTATAATGTTGTATAAGATTAAAATTTTCCTTTAGAACCGTCAGAAAATTAACTTGTTTATGACTTGGAAACATGCTCAAAATTAGGCTCATATTGTGACAGAACTGTAGTGAAAATTGCATACAAAGACAAACGGTTTAAACACACATTTGTTATGCCTTTGAACATACATCACTCTCGTGGGTTATTTTCTCATTTTTCTCTTCAAAACAAAGAAAAACTAACAACAAAGAAAAGAAGAAAGAAAATCATAGTGACTAGTTGCCCTGATGCCTTGCGGATCCGGTAAAGCCTTGTGATCGAATTATGTCCATGAATCAAGAAATGAAGGTGGTGGGATCAGAACTAAAGTCGGAGCCATTGTTGCCCGTCGATGAATTCTGTGCTTATGTAAGGCCTTATTTGGTCGTAGCTGAAGGGCTTCATCCACGGCACATGCATGTGTTTTCTTGTGGGAGATCTCTGTGATGTACTGCAATTGCCCCACCAAATGAAGCCGTTGACTGTAGAACACAATCTTATTGTTCCACAAGACCAAACTCTTATTATCAGAAGTTAATCTAAAATACAAAAGAAAAATGATGTTAACAATTGTTATGAGTTTATTAGTAACTTTATCAGCAAGAAACAAACGAGAATTGTGGGGGACAAAAGTGCAAAAAGCCTAAAAGCTTTTGTGAACGAAAAACAAAAGATACATAGATGAAATTCCACACAGGATTCTCTTGTGAAAACGAATAAAAGAGGGTTTGAGTTGTTACCTTGTAGAGTGATCTAGCTCTACCAAAGATGAAGTCAACACTTCCTTGTATGTAAGACTGAAAAAAGTAGTGTGATCCAACGTCATCCAAGAGAGCTTCAAGCCTAAAATCTTGACTACAATAAGAGTTTTGGGTGAACTCTTTTGATGTAACTCAAATTTGTAGTTTTAAATGGTTTGTAATATCTACTTTTTAGAAAAATAAAATATTCCAAAAATATAATATTCAGACAACTTATAATTTACAATTACATCAGCATGCTTTTTTTAGTATTCAAGCAAACTACTATACAACTTTTATTCTCACCTGTGATAATTCTAACTGCATCCGCATTAATTACTAAACAACGAACGGCCAGCGTGTCACTTTACATGTTTCTACATCACGTTGTACACCTCTATAAACATTATATCGATAATTATAGGTGTCTCCCCACATTACCTAAACAAATTATAGGTGTCTCCTCACATTATTCTTTCCATATTCAATCTCCTATTTGTGTCTCGCTACTAATTCTTTCCAACTTGTTAGAACGACAACAATATTCAATCTCTAAATGACCAAAGACTTTTTCAAGCAAAAATAACTTCCAAGACAAGTTCAATAACATGAAATACAACAAATCGGCCAATATACATATTAATACGTTATGTGTTCACTTAATTGCTATAAAAAATACACGTTTCCATAATTAATATACATTGCCGCTTACGTTCATTAATATGAAATACAACAAATCAACCAATATACATATTAATACGTTATGTGTTCACTTAATTGCTATAAAAATACATGTTTACATAATTACGATACATTGTCGCTTACGTTCATTAACATGAAATACAATAAATCAGCCAATATACATATTTTGATGCTATGTGTTCACTTAATTGCTATAAAAAATACATGTTTTGAGGATTAATATACATTGTCGTTTCTTATAACTTAACATATACATCTTTACATGTAAATATACACACCTTACATATAAATATACACAAAAACAGCAGAATTATACATATGATGTTTCAGTCCGACAAACAGTGAGTGCCGGATTAAAGACCTTGCCTCACTTTTTTATTATACTCAAAATAATCTTTTAAAAAACTAATTAAACGCAATTTCAGAATCGGTCTCAAAATAATTCTCAAAACAATCTCATTTTTACTTTTTATTGAAAACAAAGGGGGTGTTCCTTTGTCCTATTGAGTTAGGTGACTTGAGTGTAGATTTTGAGTTGGGTTTGAGTTATAACTTGAGTTGAAGTTGTAACTTGAGTTTGTGTTTGGTTGTGTACATTTGAGTTATGGTTGAGATAAGAATCTTTTTGAGTTTGTGTTTGAGTGAGTCAAAACTTGAATTTGTATTTAGATAGTATTTTAATAAAAACTCAATGCTAATGGAAAATTTTAATAGGGTATATGGGTGGGGTTTTATTCTTCTTTTCGTTGTCAACGCATAGAAAAAAAATCATCTCAATCAGAATTAAAACGAAAAAGTTATAGCATTTTTAAGAATAGAAAAAATACTGTTCATTAATTTGAGTTTGAGTTTCTGAACTCGAGTTGAAGGAGAAACTTGAACTCAAGTTTTAGTCCCAAACTCGAGTTCAAACTCGAGTTCAAACTTAAAAAAACATGAACTTGAATAAAGTTGTAACTTGAATTGCTTTTTGAGTTTTTAACTAAAAAAAAGGCTGCCAAACAGCCCAAAATCATTTTATAACTAATTCCAAACGCACCTAAAATTTATCCTTCAGTTTTTGACAATCTAAAAAGTATCCCATATGTTTTCTAAATCATCCAAAAACCATCCCTTCTTTTGACTTTCTTTGAAAAGTATAATATAAAAATACAAACATATCCCTCATGAGTAATGTCCATCCAATTTATCTTATAAACTTAAAACTATTCGAAAAATAAACTTGATTTGATTAGGTTTTTTTCAGTTTGTTAATATATTGATAAGTTAAATTTGTTTTTAAAATAGTTTTTAGGTAAAAGATTAAGGGATTTTCTTCAGTTGGTTAATATATTGATAAGTTAAATTTTTTTGTTAAAAAATAGTTAGAAAAACTTAGCTCATCGGTGCTAGAGAATCTCTCAAAGATTAAACTAAAAAACTAAAAAGCAAGGAAAGCTCCCTCAAAAACTCTAGCAACTCACAGTTTAACAAAACCAAACTGACATTATGATAATAATTAAAGAAACCCAATCGGGTGTTGGGTCTTGCCATAGTCGATGAGCATAGGCCGTAGATCCACCAAAGTTGTAGATATTGGGATTGGATGCTTCTGGCCCTGTTTGTTTCCCATCTCGTTTTCATTTTTCACGATTTTTGAGAATGAAAAATGAAAACGCGTAAAGAAAATGCGTTTGGCATCAAATTTTCAAAAAATAAAAAACAAAAACGTTCTTGTCCTTATATGAAAATCTGAAAACAATTTATTTCCATTTTCATTCTTCCGTTTTCGTTTTCTCTCTTCAGCCCTTTCACTCTACGACCGTGCGACTGCGCGCCCTCCCCCCACTCTTCTGCGACTACGCCCCGCCGTCTGCACTGCCCGCCCTGCCGTCTGCGACTGCCCCCCCCTGCGCGGGCCACCACCCCACCACTCTTCTTCTTCTTCGACTATCGTTAACATTTCCTAACTAACATATATAATGTTATATTAATATATTTATTTAATATATTTAATATTATTATTTATTTAATATTACTATTATTTAATATTTATTTTCAGAAATGATTCCAAAATGAAAATAAAAACGTTTTTATTTTCATTTTCATACATAAAATAAAATCACTTTGGAACTAATTTCAAACGCACCCTCTGTGTCGTTTGAGATTGGGATTGGATGTTAGAGATTTGGAGTGTTTTTTTTTTTTCCTTTTTTTTCTGCTTGTGTATAAATTGGGTTTTGATTTGGTTTTTGAAGATGATGACGATTTGGTTTTGTACATGCAATTATTCTAAGTTCTTATTTATATTTATATTTATTTATTTATTTTAAGGAAAATCCTTTTCGTTTTATGTTTTTTTTTTTTTTTTGCAATACTAAGGGATATATATAACTTATTTTTTTAATAATATATATAATTTAATATTTTTTTTCGTTTTATGTTTTCTTAAATGCTTATAATTTATTTGATATATATTTCATTTCCTTAGTGATGTAGAAGGTTTGACCAGAAGGACACTTTGGCCATTTTAAAATTATTAAATCACTTTAATCAACTAAAGTAAATATACAGGATACTTTTTGGATTATCAAAAATTGAGGGAGAAATTTTCTCAGTGTTTGGTAGATGAATTTAGAATTATAATTCTGGATCATGATTTAAAACCAGTGTTTATTTACAATAATTCTGAATTATGATTCAGAATTAGTGTTTGGTTTGGATGATTCTGAATTATGATTCAGAATCTAATGTGATGTTTTAAACTAGAACTCATGATTCTAAAACCATCCCCATCTTTATTCAAGGTGATTCAAAACCCTGATTCTGAATTATTATTTAAGAATTATGATTTGAACCCAAAATCATGAATCATGGTTCTGGTTCAGAATCATTCTGATTTGAATTATCGTACTAAACGAACCCTTTGTATTTAACTAAAATTTAAGGGATATTTTTAAAATTTTCTCGAAAAAAGGCTGTGGAACGCAACGACGCTTATTTCCTATATTCCTCCTTGATTTTGAATCATGATTCATGATTCTCTACAATATTTTCTCTCACAAAAAAATATACGTAAAACGAGAATGATTCTGAATTATAATTCTGAATACATAAATCAAACGTCCTCTCAAAAATTCTCACTCACGCGCCAAAGATTTTGCTGGGTCCTCGATTAGAAACCCATCCGCAACTAACGTCGGAAATTCCCACCCACGCCAAAGGTTCCGCTGGAGCCTGGATCATCTTTCCTTTAGAAACCCATCCACACCTAGTGCTGAAACTTTAGACGGGCCGCCCGTGACCACCGAAAAGTCTGAATTTTTGCCCGATGACCGAACCCAAATTGCCCAAAAATTCAGGCTGCCCGACCCGACCCGAAAATTGCCCATGGACGGGCTTCGGGCAGGGGATGCCTGCCCGATGCCCGACCGGCTGCCTGAATTTCATTTTTTTTATATTATATTTTTATGTTGTATAAGTATTTGTATAATTACAATGTGTATATTACAATTTGAAATTTGAAATGAACACACG